TTTTGAGAAAAATGTCGAGAAAACTCATTCAGCCCGCCGGCTTAGGTACCCAACGGACTTTTTTTCGGGTTTAGGTCAAAATCTGAATTTTCTCTAAAACTTCCAAGTCAAGGAAAATCGAGTGCTTGATCACGAATATGAAATCCTTTTTTCCGATAGCTCCCATTTGCGCCACTTCGGCACCACTTGGCGCTCTTCTGGCGCTTTTTTCGCTAGAATTCGGTAAAAATCTGTATGTAATGCAAGTGATGGTTCAAATAATAGATATGATACCCACTCTGATGCTATTTTCAGCAAACTTGGAGACTCCAACTAAAATGCAAAAATTTTGTCACCACTGAGGATTGAACCTTGGACCATTTGCTCACCACTTTTTGACCTTCAGCGAAAATGTCTCGGTGTTATAGTCTACGATTGAACTCCTACAACATGCAGAAACCATTTTGAAAAAGCGCTCCACATTGTGAACGGCTTCAATTGGAAGTTCCTTTATCACTTCAACGTTGATGGTGCCGTTTCCAAAGACGACGGGCCTTTTCGACAACGGTGATCGGGAGAGCAAGCAAGAGCCACTGCAGAGGACTGATTTCAAGAAAAAAAAACTTGTAGGGTGATTGGTAACTGGGAACTAGGCATATTTTACGATGAAAAGGTATAATAGCTTATTGAAAGCAAGGGTGGTGGTGATGGTGGTAGTGAAGCAGGGATGAAGAAGAGCCATGTGAAACGGCTCTGAACCCGAGAAATGGGACTTTAGTTTCGAAAAGTCAGCACACAAATACTCGCCATGTTGTGAAGGATAGTGCGGGGTTCCCCCAGCACGTATGCATCTTACCTTACTCCACTGAGTATATATGTCTCTCTGCAGATCTTGTGGCAGATCTTGTGGCAAATTCTTTTGTCGTCCATTAGAAAAAAAGGAATTTGATTTGTCATTACATTTACGCGAATATGATGGTGGCTTTGGGGACTTATTATCAAAGTGATTGTTAGTTGCAAATACAGGCAACCGTAAAAGGAAAATAGCAAGGCATGTACCAATTTTTGTTGAAGCTATCAAAAACGTAGCTAATTACCTTTGACAGGATTTCCACCGCCCGATCAACTTCTGTGTTTGGATACTGCTGAGAGGGTTAGTCATCCATTACGAAAATAATGGTAAGTATTGCGGGAACCAAGATGACCATGATGAGTTTACGAAAATTTGTAGAGTATAACCCAGTTTTGTAAACCACGAGGTTTGTGTTTCCGTTTGTCGGTGTTTACATATTGACATGAAGGAAATTGAATGTGAACAAAAATCGGAAAGGAATATGGGCGCTGACATCGGCTCAATAGCATCGGCTAAGGCGGTGCGTGTTGCGAAATTCGGCCTCATCCTCAACTTCTAGTTAACTTCAATGAGGGCCTATCGTGCTATGAATCGGAAGTGAATATGAGTCGCTATGTTACCAGGAAACAGTAGCAAAGATCTGGGCGTAGCATATGTCTCACGAATGGCCACCTGAATGGAACGAGCTGCAGCAGAATGAAGTTTCGATAGAATCGGCATGCATTGACTGACTGCAAAAAATTCACTCCGCAACAGCATCAACGAGATATCTCCTAGTGGTTTACCAGTGCATACGAGTCACGAGTCCACCACGTCACGGGGCACGCCTGGCGGCTATCTCGCAACTTACATCCACCACCTTGACCTGAGCTGGAGCATCATCAGAAGATATTATCCCCGGTGGGTCTCCGCTGGGCATCCCGTTTTGGAACCATTTCACTTTATGCAGACAAGCATTGCGAAGGTAACCATGGAATAGCTCCCGAAGTTGGCCGCAGCAGTGCGGGAGAACGGTTCGAAACGTCTCAAAATCTCCTTTCTCCGAAGGACCGCCCGAAATCACATTGCAAAGATAACTCGCCACGTTTTCCGGTGGCTGGACCACGACACCACATCTATCGTATAGCCTTGCCATTACTTCATCGCACTGTCCCCTCCCCAGCGCCCTGGCGCCCTGGAGCAGCAGCTTTGAGAGAAAAAAGTCAGCAAATACAATCATCCAGGAACGAAATTCCCTAACTGCCTTTCCCAAAAGTTCACTAGTTCTGGGAGGAATATAATCGTTCGTTTCTTGGTTTAATGGATGTATTTGTATCAATGATTATGGTGGTAGTTATATTTTTGACCAGTTGTTCTTCAGAAATAGCAAGACGTGTGAAAACGAATGTGCCGAAATTCAGCCAAAAATTGTGGGAAAACCTAGGCATGCATAGACGCCGGCAAACCGACATGTCGGTCTAGCTGTCCGTGCTCAAATCGCACTTCTAAATCAGTGTCGTATCGCTTCAGGCAATGGTTGTGATGACACTAGCCCGCAGTTGGATAAATAGTACTTGAGTGCTAGGGGTGAAATCAAGGAGCATATGAACGCGTTGTTCGAACTTGAAACTTTATGATGGATCATGTTCCTTTCACTCATAACCAGTGCTCCATTGAACAACATTTATTCACTAACACGAAGTCCACTGTCCTTAACCATGAAGTTGCAGGTGACCTTACCGGTCACGTAGGCGATGCGAAGGGTACAACTGTCATGGTGGATTTGGATATGAGTCACGTAACACCTG